CTTTGACATGTTACAATCGTCAGCTTCCTTCTTCATCAACACTTGTTGTAGACACGTCAGTCAGCTTCGTTGGACTTGTTCCAATCGTCAGCTTCCTTCTTCTTCAACACATACCTCGCGCACGATTAACAGTAGCAAAGATAGTAATTTTTTTCTTAAAACACTTTGTAGCCTCTCTCTCATACAATGTGGTGCACTTCTCACCATGAAAGAGACTCTACTTGTGCGGCTTTTAGATATCCTAGGACTCTTGAACCTAATGCTCTGATACCAAGTTTGTCACTCCCCGAGGCTACCCCCTTGACGTAAACACGGGACCTAGGATCACGAATGACCCCAAGCTAACCCAAAGCTGGCATATAATAAGCAAACTGAACATATCTATGAAACCACAAACTAATGCAAAAGCTAAATCAATTTATAACTAATAGAGGGGAATACCCAAAACTGGTCTGAATATATAAATCTTACTAAAAGTTTAGTGATACTAAACATTCACTCAAAGCTAAGATAAATCTAATACTATGTATGAAAAGCCTCTACTAACTAGAGTTGTTGGGACAAGCCCCCAGTTAACTCTAGCAAAACTGAAAACTGAAATAAAAGACTGAATATGAAAACATGTCTATTGTCCTCAAAGTATAAGGACTCACCACTGAAGCTGCTGAATGTGGACCGATAAATGATCTAAGCGTGATCTGGATGCTGAGTACCTGAACCTACATCATGCAATGATGTAACGTAGAGTATGTGTCAGTACATGGAATGTACTGAGCATGCAAGATATGGATAATAGCTGAACAAACATATAGGTTAAACAAAACATAACTTAGCAATGACATAATCTGAACAGAATAATAATATTGAAATCTACTGAAATGAATTGAACTGAATGCAATGACCAAGTACTGATTATTAACATAACATGCAGAGACTGAAGACTGAAGACTGAAGTATAACTGAAAACCTGGTCAAATGCACTAGAGTCTGAATGTGGGAGCTACTATTAACCGACATAAAATCACATGAGCTAACCGTGGAGTCCGATGTATACCCCCCATTGAGAGGACCTAATATACCTTGCCAGGGCTATAAAGGTATGACTGGCGTGATCACTAAATTTGATGCCCAACAGAGGGGACTTATAAACCTACGGGGGCACGTAGTTCTGGGACTATGAGGGTACGTTGAACCCTAGTCCAACTCGGTGCTAAGCCTACTCCCAATTGGAATTGTATCTGCCATAATATAACTCAAATACTAGATAGCTCAATATTCTGACATGCAAATTTGAGAATGCAACATTTATAAATTGACAATGTAACATTCGAAACTAGAGCATGTATATCTGTTTAACTGACCTAGCAAGTGTAATTCATAACTAAGAGAATCTACACCACTAGGGTTCTGAATTTCATGCAAAGAACTAAGCAACGATTTCACGAAAACATGATAATCTGATTAGGAACACTATAACAGCTAAATCACAACCAATATCTAAGGTTTTAGAAACCCTAGATCTAAGCAAGATATAACGAATCAAGAATATGACTGAATTCTAGGGACCCTAGTGGATGAAAGGAACCCACTAGTGAAATCCCACATACCTGGTGATGAAATTTTCAGAGAAATCCTTCGATTTTAGGGCTGGAACTAAAGAAAACCTGTTGCGTGTTCCTGAGGGGTTGGTCACCTTTTTTCTCCATTTGCTCAAAGTTTGATGAATTTTGGGTGAATAAATCGTTTAGGGTAAAATCTTACTAGAATATTAGGCTAAAACTGACCAAAATGACGTAGTTTAGGGATAAAATAATTAGGAAAAGACCTAACTACCCATAAACTAAAAGTCGACTAGGCCATCGACGGACCTGATCGACGGACCGTAGGTCCCTCCTGGCAGGGCGTTGTTTGGCATTTGAGGCTAGATTTCGGTCATGATCCACAGACCCTGGACCACAGACCGTGGTCCCACCTACTGCCCGTAGGTCCTGTCGTGGTTCTGGACTTTCTGGGGTAATGTTGAGGTGCTCAACCACGGACCACACCTATGGTCCGTAGGTGGCCTCCGTCAGTGGCACCTACAACTTTTGAAAATATGTAGTTTGTCCTTTCTTGAATCTGGGGTGTTACATCCAATGACTTTGGATAACAGCCTACCAACTAGGTGACTTGGATGACCTATTTAACGGTCCGTCAACATCACCACGGGCCGTTTTGGGCGTCCGTGTGAGTGACACCTGCTTGGGGAATGTTTTGGAAACTTACCACGAGCCACATAACGGACTGTGGTTCCCTACACGGCCCGTCTAGGGCTCCGTGAACGGTTCTAGGGTCCACTTTTGGGTTCTTGACCTGCCCGCTTAACCCCTCTTCTAGCCTTTCTCTAATCCGAGGTGTTCCAACAAGTTTCCATCAGTAGTACCCACATAGTATCTATACAAAATACAAATCAAGACCAAGAGAAATATAACCAGATGAGCAAATATCATTAATTTCATTAACTGGGTTCACTAATAACCTTCAAATTCTAAATTTCAGGTAGTGACTATGACTAGAAAAAATGCACCTTTCTTAAATTTTTTAATCATGAATTGGGCATCTTCAAAAGGAAGCAGAAAAAATGTAATTCAATTTTCACAGTTGAAGAAATTTCGATGAATTGAATTGAGTTTGCTATTTTTACCCAACATTAGGAAGAGGAAAACAATGAATTGCATTAGAATTGTGAATTGAATCAGAAATCTATGGAGTAAATTGTGCAATGATGGAATAAACTATTGAAAAATTTAATGGGAATATCAATATTATGTCGATTAGGAGAGGATTCTTCTATCTATAAAGAGTACTTCTACTCACCGGAAATATTGTTCTTTCTCTTGTAGGTAGGTTAACCTCGATGAGGATCTTATGGATTGAATTTAGCAGGGGTTATTCCATCAGTTATAACGGAGGTTTTGTAAAGGGTATAAAAGAAAAGAACAGAGAAAAAATAGCAGTAAAGATAATTATAAAACTTATTGTATTTATATGTGGTGTTGACGTGGTGTTGATTGACGCTGACGTGACTTGGGTGTGTACTACACCACAAAAGACATATCTGATTATAACATTTCAGGGTGAAGTAATTATAATTTTAAATAGTTCGGGGGGAGGGGTGATAGGACCCCCCATGAAGTTAAAGTATGCAGTTGAGAATCCGACAATAAGTTGGGGGGGCTATTTGACCATTTTCTGAGTTTTGGACCAAAATTTGAAATGAATTGGGTGAAAATTAATTTTTTTTGGGTCAAATATATAAAAAATATAATTAATAATATTACTCTCTGGTTATTCAATGCATCGAAGAACCGTGACCCTTACATCGCAAATCAAATCAAATTTCTTGAAATAACAAATGACACCGAACCGAAACACCAAAGAATCAAAATTGAAAAAATCAAATTTGTTTGATTTGGTTCAATTTTTTGGTTTTTCAGAATTTATGTCTACTCCTAACTACGAGTGATTTGCCCATTTTTGGTTCTCTCCAAAAAGGAGCGTCCCTTTATGCATTTTTGCTAGAAAAATGAACCTTTGGTTCCAAATTTCCTATTTTAGCATAATCTTGTAAACCATAACCCTAAAATTGCAAATAAAATTAGTTTGACTATAATCAATTGACAATATTTTTTAGTACATAAAATTATTTCGGATTATCTTCATTGCTTACTTTTTCCTAATGTATCAGCGGCAAATGATATTACTAAATTGTTTCCGACAATCAAGTAGATTATGCTTATATGATAATTTATACCCTTTTTTTAAAACTTCACTTCTTCTTCATCACAATTTATAGTACCTTTTTTTTCTTCTTATTATCATCACCATAAATATGATATTTTATATATGATTTAAGTAAATTTTATCACTCTTTCTTAGCCCACCAATGGTCAGATGACTTTTTAGATACCTTTTCTTCATTGCATTTTTGGAGAAGCAAATTGCTTCAAATTCTGAATATATACTCCGTCCGTCCACTTTTATTTGTTTGTTGCGTTTTTTAAAAGTCAATTTGACTAATTTTCAAAGTTAAATTAGATTACATTAATTCGATATTTTAAACAAAAAAAATTAGATATTCAAAAACTATATGAAATTACAATTTTTTGCATATCAATATGATGAAAAAATACATTGTAAAATGTTAGTCAATTTTTTTTATAATTTAACTCTAAAAAAGAAAATTATGACAATGAAGACTGAACGTGGTAGTACTTTATTGTCTTTGAGACTTATTTCGTATTCATGGACTTTTATTTGGTCCGGATGGAATGCATATCTTTCTTGTATCCAAAAAAAATAATTTAGTATTTTATAATTTTTTAAAATCTAGAATTTTTTGTAAGAATTAAATTGAGTTTAAGGGTAAAAATGTCTTATATGGAGCATCATTTTCAAAATATATTATCCAAATCTAACAGGGATTTCAATTCAGGCATTGAATACTGAATTAAAAAATAAAAAATAAAAATATTTTGATAATTTAATGTTTAACTTTTGTAATTTTTACTTTTGTAATAATATATATTTATCATATTCCTCGTAAGTCCACTAGTCAAATAATCAACAAAGTCATCTTTAATTTAATTTAAACCTAACATAAACAAGAAACAATTCCATCATAAATAAATTGCCATATGTGCTCTTATGTCAGAGCAATACACTTGATATTTTACCCACAATTTCAGTGGTAATTTAACATCTAACAACATGGAACTAATCATATTTACCAATTGTTTTTCCTCTTTCAACAAAATCATTTTATTGTGGAATATAGAATGCACTAATTTGGTGAATCAAATCATTTTCTTAACAAAATAATTAGAGTTTGAACTGTAGTTATTTTATTTCTTAATTACTTATCACATTTTTTGTTTGTGATTATTTTTGCAGTACTGGCTATATTTTTAATAGTAGTCCTAAAGTGGTTGTTTGTTAAAATCATCACAATCTAATTAAGGCTTAACCAAATCCAAATCCCCCCACCACCTCCTTGATTTGCCGTTGAAGGAAGAAATGCAATTTTTCAAAATTGAACTTTAACTGCTCAGCTTCTGTGTAGATTAATGGATTTGTAGTAAGCCATTAACATGGGAATCTTCAAGGAGAAGAAAAATGCATCTGGGCTAGCTACTTCACCTTGTGCTCAACTAAGAGAGGCTTACCATAATTGCTTCAACAGGTCAAAAAATCAAACTTTATGATATATTATTTACCCCTTTTGGCTAATTTTTTGTTGTGGATCAAGAACAGTTAGTTTTCTTTAGATTATTGTGTAGTTGATGTTTACCTAAAACCCTGAACCCTGAGATTGATGATGGGTTTCTTTGTAGGTGGTATTCTGACAAATTCTTGAAGGGTGAGTGGAATAAAGAGGAGTGTGTCATAGAGTGGAAGAAATACAGAGATTGTCTATCTGTGAGTTTTCTCTTCTTTGAATTCTAAGCTCAATCAGCTATCGAAAACAACCTCTCCACTTGTGGGATTACACTGTTGTTGTTGTTGTTCTGTATTTATTTTTGAAGTTACTTTTTCATTAAAAAATTTCAGCAACATCTGGATGATAAGCATTTAAGTAGATTCTTGGAAGCTGATGGTGCTAATCAAAATGATTCAAAGAGCTCTGCTGCTGCTTCCAAGTAACACACAAGTGAGCATCTTGAAATACCATGAAAAGGAAATGTGATTTAAAGTAAAGCATAATTAGAATGTTTTTGTAATTGTATTTGATGTCAAGTTAGGTGACATGTAATCAATCAATGAAAAAGTACTCGAATTTTCCTCTGATTGAAAGGCTTTCCTGAGTTTTGCATGTAAACGTTTGAGTAGAACTAGGCAAGCATGCTGCATAACACTGAAAGATTGTCTTGCAATAACAATGCTCCTATTGAAAATTTTGACACTTGATGGAATTTTAAGCTACGGATTGTTAGACTGTGATCTTAGCTAAATTGCTTATGTTTTGTGATGTGTAAAGTGTTCTTATTATCTGAACTTGTTCTGCCCATTAGACCAGTTGCATATGATTCCATCCAAAATCTTGTCGAATTTAATAAAAAAAGGGATAATGTTAAGTGAAGATAGTTTGGATATGTAATGAGAAAAGAAGAGATTTTGGGAATGAATTGTTTGGTATTCCCTCAAGCGTGTTGCGTTTACATAATTCTTTACTAGTAATCCTATAAAGGAAAGTAGTTGCTGTTCCTATTTACACAATTTTAGGATTCTAAACCTTTCCTATGTATACAAGGAATGAGCTCTTGCAATATTAATAATTTCCTAATTCTTAATACTTCTCCTCAAGTTGGGGCATACACATTGTATGCTCCTAACTTGCCACAAAGTGATTTTGTAAGAATATTTGCTAACTGATCATTGGAGTTAATGAAGTAGATGCACCCCGAATTTCAATGTACTTCTATATGCTCTGTGCTCTCATGAAACACATGATTCAAAGTAATATGTATTGCATCTTGATTGTCACATATCAATTTCATGTGTGCATCTCTACCATACCTCCAGTCTTCGAGAAGTTATTTTAGCGATATAAGCTCACTTGTAGTAAAGCCATTATGCAGTACTCTGCCTCTGCACTCGATCTAGCTTTTACATCGTGATTTTTGCTTTTCTAAGCTATTTGGTTTTCTCCAACTAGAACACAGTACCTGATGTAGGCCGTTTGTTTGAAGGAGATCCTATACAATCTGCATCAGAATATCCAGTACTATTTGTGTCTCCTCTATTCTCATACAATGGACCTTGCCTGCGTGACCTTTGATATGACTTAAGATACAAATCAGTACATTCAAATGACTGTCAAATGGAGTCTAGAAAAATTGGCTGACCACACTGACCACCGATGAAATGTCCAGTCGTGTGATCTTAAGATAATTGAGCTTCCATTCAATCTCCAATAGTGACCTGGATCTTTCAATGGCTCCTCCTGTCCATGCACAATCTTAACGTTGGGCTCTATAGGAGTATCACTGGTCTGCAGTTTAACATGCTATTGTCTTCCAATGTCGAAAGCATATTTCCTATTTGAAATGAAATTCCACGGCTGCATTGGGCCACTTCAATTCCTAGGAAGTATTTTAGTTTACAGAAATCTTTTGTCCGAAAATGACTGCTAAGATGCTGCATAAGATGAATAACGCCTTCATGATCATCACCTATTATAACAATGTCATCCACAAAAACAACCAAGAATATGTGTTTGCCATTATGAGAATGTTTATAGAACACTGAGTGGTCAGCTTCACTTCAAAGCATGTCAAACTGTTGGACAACTGTACTAAAACGGCCTGACATGCCCTTGGTGATTGGTTAGACCATAAAGAGATCTACGAAATTGACATATAATCCAGATCCTCCCTAAGCAACAAATCCTGGTGGTTGCTCCATCAAGGAAAGAATTCTTGATATCTAATTGATATAAGGGGCAATGAAACATAGCCATGGAATAAGGCGGTGAACAAATACAATCTTCGCTAATGGAAAAAAAGGTATCACCATAATTAAGATCATAAATCCAAGAATATCCTTCGCTACTAATCCAGTGTTATCAAAGGCGCGCTTTAAGCGCGCTTAATCCCTGAAGCGAGGCTCAAAACGTGTTGAGCGCTTTGCCTTGCTTTATGTGCGCTTCAGTGTCGTCATCAAGGTTCTAAGGCAAACACTTCCTTGCCAATGAGCCTCTTATGGAGAAGTGAAACTAAATGATTGATATTTCACTTTATCATATTTATTTTTTCAATTTCTTTGGTCATATATTTGTCATTTATGTTTATAATTATTAGTCTTAGACTAAACATATATATTTGTATTCTTTTCTCCCTTTGCACCTTTTTTCATTAAAGCCCACGCTTTATTTGCGCTTTGCGCTTAAAGCCCCCACGGACCTTAGAGCTTTTTTGCGCTTTTCGCCTTTGATAACACTGTACTAATCTAGCTTTGAGACGAAACCTTTCCATCAGCACCCATTTTCATAGTAAATACCCAGTGACATTCAATTGTTCTTTTTGCCCGGTGGTAAAGGAACTATCTCCCAAGTTCCATTATCATGAAGAACACTCATTTCCTTCACCATAGCCTTCTTAGCTTTAGTATTTCTTGGTGATCCTTAAAGGAGAGTGAAGAGCTTGCATTTTATTTTATTTTTTGCATAAACTTGGCTACTTTGTTAAGTTTTGTCTCGTTGGAAATTGAAATAGAGACTGAAAATGATATCTATCGTTTGTTGTTCATCCACATTTGGATCTCTGCTTTCTTAGATATGAATTGACATATCACGACATGCTTTTAGATTTTATGATACTGTTTATAGTTGAAGAGACAGACTATTTTGGGTGGAGTAATTCCTGATTCCTTACGTTTTTTCCCCTTGATTTGGTGATTTTCCTTTTAACCCATGCCCAAATCCTTCCTCCCAGGGGCAACCTTTGTTCGCCTCTCTACTTCCTTAGATTAATGGTGGGGTGGAGGGCCCCCCTTCATTCCAGATTCCGGTTTATGTTAAGGTTTAATGCAGATAACGTTCCTTGGTCAGAAACCTGTTCCTATATTTGCATTGATTTCATTGATTGTGAGACACAGGTTTTGATGATGAACAGGATTCGATACTTCGAGCCTATAACTAGGGTGAAGTTCAGATGAATTCTATGATTACAACTCTGGTTTCCATGTTGTATGAGTCTTTGCAGTGGGGTACTGGATTTAGTCTGATGATCTCCCTTCAGCAATGGTTATTTCAGCGTTCCTTGTGCAGAGTGTTAAATATTTACTCAGTTTATCTGCACAATCATTTTAATTCTTGAGTTTACTAATTTTTTTAAGGTAAGCAAGCAAGGTTTTGGAGTTTAGTACTTGCTCAACATAGTACTTAATCAAGCAGATGCTGTTTTTTTGTCAACCAGCTTGCACTGAATATATAGTTAGACTGAACGGCCACACTCTCCTTGGTTCACGACTTCACGTTTCCATTTGATGTTAGATTGGGAACATTAGGTCGAGTCACGCTTGTCACGTCTCTTTTCCAGTTCAAGTTCAGTAAAAACTTTTTGAAATAAAGGACTGATGGTTTGACTTTATGACTTTATGCTCAATATTGTGGGAAAACCTAGTTAATTACGATAAGGTAAGTTGTGCATTGTAGACTCCAGGATAGTTCATGAGATTGTGATGTCTTCTGATATCAAAGGCAACAGGGAGTCATATTCCTTTTTTTTCAAAAGCTCTCTTGTTCCTCTCCCTCCAAAGTAACCACTTGTTGTCCAAAAATCCTTTTTCTCCTCTTCTCTGCTTTTTCTCATATGGGATTTACCCTTATCTTCTTTTAGTTCCTTGCTGAATCTTTCCAAATATTGCTCAAGTTAGTTTTGCTAGCAAGAAGTACCAATGATAGTCTATTTATGCAAAAGGTTCAGAAGGAGTTTCTTTTTTCAGTTTCTGAAGTGGGATTGGATATCGTTGTTGTTTTATCTCTTCCTTGATTTTCTGAGGGAAAGAAACTAATTGAGTTCTACCATTGTTGAGTGACCTGAGTCTATTGTTTAGATTTCACAATTTCCCTTTTTATATGGTGTTATTGGAGAGTGACCTGAGTCTATTGGATTTAGTATTGAGAATTCAAATGCAATTCTATATAATCGGTTTTGATTTTTTATTTTGAGATTTTTCTCTTCCTCATTTGCCTTTAGATTTGATCCCTTTCTCTTGTTTATACTTGGTTCCGATGTGTTGAATTCACTGTTCTTATATTGGTTAAAAATTGAAATCAATGCTCTTTCAGTGTCAAAATAATTTTATATTTACCGAGTCAGAGAAGGTGATTTTTGGTTAAAAAATTAACAATATTATTTGTACTTTTTATATGAGACAAATCAAATTATAGTACTTTCGCATTGAATTCTCTCTATTTAAATGTTATGTATAGAAAATTGTATTGTGATGTGTAAAGTGTTCTCATTTGATCTTGTGAGATACCATTCTTCAAATACACTACTTATCATAACAATGAATAGTCCTCTAGAAAATCATGATTCCTTTGAAATGCTTGTTTGAACTCTGTTAAATGAAGACAGTTTAAATATTCAACATGAGACGTAGTGTTTTGTTTCTTTGTGATTTTTAAAGAAGAGTAGAAAGCTTGCATTTTGTCCCCACAGTCCTGGCTGTTTTGTCAAGTTTCATGGCTTTTAAGGAAAAGAAAGACTAGGTAACTCTTTTTTTGGTCTGTTTGTCCATCTCACATTTGGCTGTCAACTATCTTAGATATGACATCTATAGCATGACCTGTTTTTTTGATTTTATGTTCATGCTGTTTACAATATACATTATTGGGTGGAAGTGTTGCTTTCTGCATGATTCCTTATTTAGTGGCTACTTGAGAGTTCATGCTAGGTTTAATGTGGATTGTTTTTTGTAAAGATATGGCAATCACCAAGTTCATATAGGCAGACCACCAGTCCATGAATGTAGGACTCAGGTTTTGATGATGAAAATAATCAAATACATGGAGCCTAGTTCCAGAGGTGAAATTTAGCTGGAATTCTATGATTACCATGGGGTGTCCATACTGGTTTCAGTCTGATTTATCCCTTTTACAATGACACAGATATTTTGCCAGCCTCGTATCTCCACGATCATTTTGAATCTCGACTCTCGTACTTGGTTTAAGTATATAGTACTGAATCATGTAGATGCAGATTATTTTCAGAAAACTAACTTAAGTTGCTGAAATTGAGGGTGATCTGTCTTGCTGAAGTTCTGCCACATTAATGCGAGAACCTGTAGGAAAATTAACGTGTTCACATGCCCATTTGTTGTTAGATTGGCAACATTATTGCTGCTGTCTCAGTTTTCGTGTTGCAGTTCAAGTGCCAGTAAAAGCCTCTAAACAAAAGGATTGGCACCGTCTTCTGTGGGCAACGAAA